ACTGGAGTATTCATAGCTAGCTTAACAGACACCTGTATTTCCCATGAATAGTGATGATGAGGAGCCGGATCTGGCAACCCAATTCTGTTCCCACTGAAGAGAGAGGCCACTAGATCACTCCTATATATGGCAGCAGGCTGGTTCAAATTCTGCCCTCAGTTATAAGTGGGCAACCAAGCAAATGGACACTGAATAGGTGCAACTGAGGGCAAGGCTTACATATGGGAGCAAATGCCATATTTGCATTAATTAGGAGCAAAAAAAATGCGCACTCATTTCCAATTGAACCTTGCTTTGAAATTCACTTTCTGTGGATTTTGTGCTAGTAAATTGGACTGTTTCCCTTGTGTAAATATTCAATGGGATATATATATATATCCTATTGAAAAAATATATATAGTGAATTCATTTAATATTTCACGTGAACGTTCACAGAGCATTTTAAAATTATTCATCTAGCTCATAGTATCATGGAGCAAAGATTAGCATTGGGAAGCTAATGTCAGGTTCTCTAGTGTCTATGAAGTCCTGACCAACAACATTTAGAGATTCTGAGAGCAGCAATTTCCAGCTGAGACTAATTTTAAGTTTTTTTAATTCTGAAAAATGTAGGGACTGAATTGGATTATGTATATTTTCCAGCAGGGTTTTGATTCTAACATAGCTTGTTTCAATGCTAATATAAACAATTTTTTGTTTTACTGGATAAACAAGCTGATAAAAAAAAATTAATTCATAATGTCAGAGCTGTCCATCTTCAAAATAATCCTTAGAAAGGGTTGACAGTTCTATTGGACTTAGATTTATAGAAGACAAGGGAAAATGTTAATATAGTGTAAAGAGGAGAGTGACAGATTAAAGATATACATGCTTTATTTACTGTAAAAACACAGATGAGATGCAACATCTATGGTCTGTTACTCACTTTAGTATTCAAGTACCAAACTGTCTAGTATTAAGATATTGTTGGCGGCTATACTTGATTGCTGAATAATGCTGAAGATTTTTGTAAAGCTCTAAGAACATGTGAATACCAAGTTGTTCCACATTGTTTTTCCATTCAAGACTATCTAGAGGAGGAACATGCTATAAACAGAGGAAAGTGAGAATTCTTTATCTCATCACATTCAGCTAATTGATTTTTCTAAGGTCATTCTGAATTCTAGATCTTCCCTGATACAAAGGAATGCTATATACCAGGGGTGTCCAAACTTTTTTCAAAGAGGGCCAGATTTGATGAAGTGAACATGCGTGAGGGCCGACCATTTTGCCTGACATTCTTTGAACCATTAAAATTAAATGCAAATTAACTATTTTATGCAAAGTTTATTGCAAACGGCATACTTTTCATTTCGTCACATGGATGACAAATCTAAACAGGTGTTAAATCACTCTGCCTTTCATATCTGAAGGCCAGATGAAAAAAAAATCCAGGAAGCTGAAATATATGTCAGGAACATTGTAAAGTACATTACATATTATTGGTAATAAAGGTTGTCTGTCAACTTTTAAGTTCAAAAAATATGAACAGGAACATAACACCAAGTATACATGTTGTGTCCAAATATATTTATAACTGATTTAGACCAACTGACGTTAACTGAGATTTTACAATGTATTCATCTCAATACATATGGATTCGTTGGGGGCCATAAAAGATAGATATTGCCAAATTACCTGGGGGACCGTATTAAACCGTTAACCTATCAAAGAATGGTACACCGTGAACAACTTTCTCTTCTAAAACAAAATATAAAGAAAAAACACAAATATATTTACTGTTGGCTGTAAAGATATTGAAACATCTTTAAAAAATGCGGCCAACCTACTAGGTTTCAGGAGGGAAGTGTTTTGTACAGTGCTGGAAATTACAGGGATTATCAGCTCATGGAAAGAGGAAAATCATGTAGTTCAAACTGAAGAAATGTCTGGATAGTTAGCTTTATCTAAGTATACCTTTTGCACAGAAAAATCTAATTTTGTGTTCAGCACTGAAATGTGGTATTATACTATGAACAGAGTAACAACTTGTGTTATATTCTAATCACTGGACCTGCTAAAGCTTACAGTTCCAGAGAAAAACAAGTTCATAAAAATTAACAATGCTGATTCTCACAGGGAGTAAATGTTGACACTTCTCTACATAAATCTCAGCCTGTGAAAATAAAGTTTGATCCCTCTGTTTCACTGCCACCTGTGTCCCTGGAAGTTGTGAAGAAGCAACTGACTTCAAGGTAAATATTGCTAGTGTGAAATGTAAATTTTGAGCATCCTGTGTTACATACAGTGCTGCATTGATGTCTTTATGAACCAGTGTGTCTCACTGTCACGTCTGTTCAATTCCCTCTTCCCCATACTAGAGAATCTTAGTAGTATTATTTTATGTGTAATGAACTTGTTGCAATACCCAGACCAGTATTAAGATTTTTTGGTTTGCTTGGTAGTAATACTGTGGCAGTGTCTACGTGCAGTATTTTGTTAAAACTCTCTTCCATTATACTAGTACCAGTGCAGAGTCATGTGATGGTGTACTAATGTATGCTAATGAATGGTGTTCACCCCAAAGCAGAGGTGAGCAAAATCAGGCCCAGGGGTCAAATCTGGCTTGCCAAGTATTTCTCTCTGGCCTGCCCAGCTGTTTAACAGAGCGCATACTTAACTGCCAACAGCATGTGTTCGGCTGCCCCTCCCCCCACCTTGCTCCATCCTGCAGCTGAGAGGCTCCCAGGTTTCTCCTGCTAGCTGTGCAGAGCGGGCTTCGGCCCCTGACCTGATTTTGCCCATCTCATCCGCCTGAGGCTCTGCTCCTTCTGGGGAGCTGGCTCTTGAGCATGTATCAAAATTCATGAAGTAGCCCAATTGAGAAAATTATCGCCCACCCCTGCCCCAAAGCCGCCACGCGAGCATGCTATGAGAAGGGCTTGATGAAATGTTGATTAAAATGCTTTCAGCTCTTCTCTGCCAACACCATCCCCACAGTTGCTGACCCTGGTGGTAATGCAGTGTGTGGGAGATTAAGCAAATATAGGCAGTCCCCGAGTTATGTACAAGATAGGGACTATAGGTTTGTTCTTAAGTTGAATTTGTATGTAAGTCGGAACTGGCTCCAGATTCAGCCGCTGCTGCTGAAACTGACCAGGGGCTGACTACAGTAAGCTGGAGGCAGAATTGCTCTGCCCCCAACTTCCTGGAATCAGCCACTGATCAGTTTCAACAGCGGCTGAATCTCGAGCCTCGGACAGAACAGCTGGGCTGCCAGGTAGGTCCCTGCAGGACCAACCCGGCAGCACCCCAGCTGCTCTACCCCAGGGTCCACAACAAAAGCCTGGTCTGCTGGGGGGGGTGGCGCACTAGTCTGGCAAAGCCT